CAAAAACCTAAAGCAGAAAGTGGACGTAGATCTCACAGAGGTTTAAACACTATCAATTTATGAGATGACCTTTCTTGTTCTCAAATTTATTCCATTTTTTATTAAGGCTTAATATCTAACAAAGATAACATGTCTACTTGGAGCTACCCAAGAAGAGGTAGCTCGAGCCTATGATATTGCTACAATTGAGTACAGATGGATCAATGTAGTAAAAACTTTGACCCGAGTACCTACATAAGATGGTTGAAGCCTGAAATAAATACTTAGGTTCATGTTAAAGAAATAAAGCCAAACACATTCTCAACTAGTTTTTCCAACTTTCCAGTCACAAATAAAAGTGTCAGTCTAGATGAAATGAGCAAACAAGAAATGTTTGGGAGAAAAATCTCGTTTTCCTCATCCTGAACTCCGACAGCACTTGGCCTACTCCTTCGTTCTTCAATATATAGAGAACTTGTTAAGTTGAATGCACATGTATCGAAAGAAGAAAATGATGGTAAAAACACAAAGGATTTGCCCTAGAGAGTAGCGATGACGAAATGGAGGGATCCTATACAACCTCCCTGGCATTGAGTTGCAACAAGACCTCCATTTCAACTATGATTATACAAACAAATTTGGGAATAGTATCATAAACACGACCTTCATCTACTAATGGATATTCCCCTACTATATATATGATGTTTATATACATTTTTCTTTCCATGCGTACAAAAACTTATGCAGGAGACCTTGTGAACTGGAGCATAACATAGTTCTTGAAAAAATTTTGTAGATTAAGTTTTGCAATAATAGAATTTCCTTCGAAAAAATTCCTTTTAGGTTCCCTGGTTGTATAATATGAAATGTTCTTCTTGAATTGAGTCATTTGAATAACTATGGAACCATTTTGATCCTTGCATAAAAAAGGAAAAAGTAAAGGCAAATGGATGAGAGAGATTAAAAGAAAGCATGATGTATCCCGTGCAACAGCAAAGACAAATTATTGCAAGAAGGATACAAAAAGCGAGAGAATGAAATGTCATAAATTTTAGCTTTCTTAAAATGGTCTCGCTTATGATTCAACATTCAATAACTTAAAAATGTTCTCTTGGCCAGAATAGAAAGTTGATCAACATATGTGTTACAACGACTTTAATTGGAAGTTTCAACAGAAAAAGGAAAGATAAAATCGTTTTTCAGTTTTCCAGTTTTGTTTTGAGTTTCTTAAAAATGTCGGATCTGGAGCTGTGGTCAACACTTTTCTTCGAGATGTGTATCAATTAACTCAAGCTCCATATTTGTAAAAGAATGTATGAATTACTTGCGAAAGAAATAAAATAATTTTGTTCTTAAATTAGAATATGTCATCTTTCTCACAGGAGGTCGTTCCTGGTTCATTGGAAAAATGATTATGAAAAAGAAAGATATAAGATAAAATTTATCTATTGTCCTGTCCAATCTACAGACCCCAAGTATTTTGAAGCTTTTGTTAGCACATTCACCGTGCAATTCATTTTCATTCCTTTGGAACAACACTTTCCATCTTTCACTCAACTGTTAGAAATTAAGCTAATTCTTATAACTCGACGATAGATCTGATACCATTTGTTATGAATATTAAAGACGAGATAATAGACAACATGAAAATAATAATTACAAGAACTCGAGATTTACGTGAAAATCTAAGACTGAAAAACCATGAGCAGGGGTGAAGAATTCACTATATCAAAAGTAAGAAGTTATAATATGTTATGATAAATCTTACAAGACTTTATCATGATCTCTCTATCTACGAGTATCTCTCTATTAACCTGGATCCCCTATATCACTCTCTGAGTTGATCAAATAAATTTGTGTAATACATTATATATTTATAATACAAAAATCTCTAACATGCTAGGAAAATTAATACAAACAAGAGTCTAACACAATGTAAAGTCCTATTACAATAAATAAAACAATAATATAGTATTTGAGTTGAAATATGAGAGAAATTTTGCCAAAATTGAGAAACACTCTCCTAGTCTTCTTTTACTTCTTCAAGACTTATCAAATACAAACAACTAATTTCAAATATATCTCCAAAATAGAATTCAAATCACACTAAAATTCTAACAAATCTCCAAATCAATATGAATTCCACTGCATTGAATAAGATTTAAAAAATTCTCCACCTAAAGACAAATTCACTACAAATGATAAAATTAACTCTTCAACAAAAATCTTCAAACGAAACACTCCAAACAAATTATTCCATCTCTTCCACAAAATCCAACCAGGGCAAACTCACCACGTCGATTGAATCCAAGCACTGCATATCTACAGGATTACTTTAGGCACCAAATTTGCTCGAATTATCACCACGAGCAAAAAGATCATCAAGATCACACCTAACTCCACCTAAGCTAGTAGCAGGTTCTTCAATATCACATTTGTTCAAATGATCACCACGAGCAACTCGATCACAACCAACTCCATCTGAGATGACCCTTATCAAACCATAAGCGACCAAATCAGTCTCACCGAACCTCTCTTGAAGTCTAATGTCTCTTTTTTTTTTCCATTTAGTGACAACTGCATCAAACGTGATCGTCAACCCTTCCAAAACATATAATTGAGACCTTCTCCGCCCCTTTATCACAGCTCAATTCTTATGTTACTTCTCTTCTAGCGTCCAAACAAAAATTTGTCATAACGAAAAATTTGGTATTGCGATCCAAAAGCGAAATATCAAACTTCATACTTGTTATCCAAAAACAATCAAATCTCGTTCTGAGTTGATCAAACATCGCTCTAATACAAAACCAAATTGGCTCTTCCAAGAACTGTCGAACATTAGCTCTGATAGCACTTGTTATAACCCCGCGATAGATATAATATCACTTATTATGAATATTAAAGAAGAGATAATGGACAAGATGAAAATAACAATCACAATAATACAATATTTACGTGAAAATTCAAGACGAGAAAAATCACACGCAGATGCTGAGAATTTATTATATCAAAAGTAAGGAGTTACAAT